GGATTCCATAGGATGGAGCCATGACAGTTAAAGTGGTGTCAAACTGCAGCCCATTTATTCCTATAAGAGCCTGTTTGAGCTCTAACACCCTCAGGGGAGACCATTCCCTTCTCTTCATCCCACTCCCTTCCCAGGTATATGTGGATTGAAACACAGGAGAAGATATTCATTGTGGCTTCTCCTAGGCTTTGGAACTCTCCTATAGGAAAGTTAGACTCTCCCTGTCCTTGCTATCTGTCCCTCAGTATATGAAAACTATTCTTTGCGGTCATGCTTCAAGGAATTGACTGCAAGGATGTTAACGGTGTGCTGTTTTGCCCATGTTTGTCTTTTTACGATTTCATGTATTTGTTTTAGGTGGTTTTAATTCTATAGACAGTTTAATTGCATTTTAACAATAACTTTTTATACACTGCACTTTTACTTACGTTTTTTAAATTGCTTTTAATTGTATTTGTTTTAATTTTTGTAAACCAGCTTGAGTTCTCATTTTGGGAAGATGGTGGAATATATATGAATTATTATGATTGTGATTTTTTTTTACCATTTCACTTGTGTGTGGAAGGTGTAGATCAGGGGAAGGCAACCTTTTTGAGCCGGGGGCCAGGTTGCTGTCCTCAGACAATTGGGGGGCCAAAGCACCAAAAATAAATAAATAAATAAAAATAAAAATAAAAATAAAATAAATATGAATGCACACTCTCTCAGCCCCAGAAAAGCCATGGCAAACACCCTGTGGAAATTTTGTCAAGAAAACCCCAAGAACAAGTAATAACAACAATAATCAATATCATCATGGCGGGCGGTGGCAGCCCTACCCCTGGTGTAGATGTACAAATGTAATTAATATAAGAAATAAACACAAAAGTGAGATTATATAGGTAAGATCTTTTACCCAATATCTTTTTTTAAAACTTTTATGTTCTTAAAGGCTGTATGCAGATGAATGAGTGTGAAGAGAAGATTCTAGATCATTCCAAGATGAATGAGGGTAGAGAAGAACTTCTGGAATATTCTGAGCTGAATGAGGGTCGAGAGAAGAGTTTAGTCTGTTCCAAGCTGGTGAAGCCAGTTGAGGTACCTCAAATGAGCATTACCAAAGACGTTTCCCAGATCGATGAAGAAGGCAAAATCTCTTGGGATCATCACAGTTCAAAGAGGCAGCGAAGTAAACATCCAAAGAACAATGCAAGAGATTCCATTCCTGGTGTGGAAAGCAAGATTTTCGGTGAACATTTCTTAGAAAACGCTAGACTTCCAGAAAGCTTTTGCGAGGACTCAGGACTTTTTGAATGTGGAGCAGCCCATAATCGGGAGGAACCACTTCAGCATGCCAAGTGCAGCAAAAACCTCCACAGAGATCTGCTTATAAAACAACAGCGAAATACGCACGCTTTGGAAAAACCACGTAAATGTTCTTACGGCGGGAAAGCCACCTGTCACATTTTCCACGAGGGAACGCATGCCGAGAAGAAACCCTTCCAGTGCTCAGCCTGCGGGAAGTGCTTCAGTCGGAACTCGCTTCTCTTGAAGCACGAAAGGACCCACAAGGGAGAGAAACCCTATACTTGCCCTACCTGCGGGAAGAGCTTTGTCTATAGCTGGAACCTCATTAAACACAAAAAAAAGCACACGGGCGAAAAACCGCACCAGTGTTCTGCCTGTGGGAAAACGTTCTTTGAGCGGTCAGACCTTCTCCGACATGAGAGGACTCACACAGGGGAGAAACCCTATCGGTGCACTCACTGTTGGAGACATTTTAGCCAGAAGTGGCTCCTTATTAAACATGAGAGAACCCACACAGGGTAGAGGCAAGATAAAGTGTTCCCTGTGTGGAAAGGTCTGACCTAAGCTTTCTTTATTTTTTCAACAAGAGA